ATGCCCGATTTGCTTAGCTTTACAATTTACTGTCAATTTAATGTAGCACATGCCCCTTAGGTTAAAAGTGCATATAAGCAACCTAATAACAGAAATAACACTCGAGGCGGAGGTAATAACACCGGGATGCGGAGCCGACTATGTTATTTCAGTTCAAATGTTGTAAATGTTGTATCACCCTGAGAGAAATATAGTATTTATTATTTATATACTTATACCTCTATTTATATCCTTCAATATAAAACTCCAAAATGGCTATCATGTGTCCTGACTGAATATCACTCTCCTATGATATATATGGTGGCTGATTTGGTACGTGTTTGTGCGTCGCGTTGGCGCTAACAACAACACGACAAAGCGCCAAACGGCACATTGTCGCGCTGTCCGCTTGTCGCCCTGTCTCTAGCGCGGCACGCAAAACGGCGCGTTGTCGTGCGGCGTGTGGTTGCGATGTCACATTGTAGCTTGGTTCAAATTGAAGGATTGGCATATATGTCAAATCGAAGGGCGACATCACTCCGCACATTAAAAAAAGAATTAAGATTAACAAGGTAAAGGCAATGTTCACAGGACTTAGACCCCCGACACACCCATGCAGGACATCTTGCATAACTCCATATTCAGCAAAAAATTTTTATCATCATAAAATAATAGAAATGTATAAAATCTTTCTAGAACTGTGTTAACTGAAAGTTTATTGTTTTAAGCAAATAAAATTGTATAAATGACGATGTGTATTTATTTATTTCCTTGCCTTCGTACTTTATCAGGGGGTCGAACGTATAGCGGTGCGATACTCCTTTAAGCGAGGTGATTTCATGCGATACGCCCTAATGGCGGATTTACCCGTGTAAACACACGTCAGAGTGAGTGTTTTTTTTATTAAGTATTTCGTAAAGCATCGATTACAATTGCATATATTGTATTGAGGATGTGAAGATAGGACCGACACACATTTCATCAAAATTACAGAGGCCAAAATTCATAATTGAAAAAGTTATTGAAGGTAAACTGACGGTAACTAATTTTGGATCGGTGAATAAAATCGCTTAATGCAAGCTTATATTAATATTGTTTATTTCTTTTTCTTCTTTAATCTATTAGAGTAAAAATAATTGAGTTGCATAGCAAGTACCTTTGTGCTCCAATATACATAGACGCTTACTGGTCGCAATATTTAAGTGTACGCTGGATTTTGACGCGATAAAATAACTGTACGCTGTTAAAGGTTCGACATTTTTCATTATACTAAGGTAACTACCATATTTGTGCCCGTTTCCGGAATTCTGAAATCTTCTTGCGTTAAAGACTTACTTGAAATAAAAGTTTTGTATAATCATCTATATAAGTGTTTGAACTTAATTTGAATAATTAATTATAATTATCCTGTGATATTTAAGAGTTGGAAAAAAGTAACCTTTACTCTAAGATCTTAGATAAAAAGGAGGTATTTGACCAAAATATGTAAGAATAAATTTAAGAAACCAGTTAAGAAAACTTGTATAAATTAACTCTCTTTCAAAGCAGAACATTTCAACAAAAAAAGGAGTTAATATGTGATATAAGGGCTGTTTTACTTCCTGAGGTTCTTTTGTACATGCTGCTGTCAAACTGATATTTTTTTCCATAAAACTTCAATTTCAAACTTCAGTCAGTCATTGGACATCAAACAGCTCAGTGTTTTTTCTAAGGAACAGCTGATGATTACATGTGCAAATACACAGTTGTAGATGTTGCAGAGCAATTAAAACATTACAACTTGATTAACAAACAAAGCTACTGCCAGATAGGTAAAGTACCACAAATACAATTGCTGACACATGTGCAAATAAACAAAAAGCTATTGAGTATATAATATTAGAATGAGTCACACTGGTTATTGAGTAGTAAAGAAATATCACATGGGTTTGTGGGTTACAGTTAAGATATCATCCCAAGGTAAATACTGTTAGCCAAGTTGTTAGCCGAGGGAAACAGTATTTTTAGGAGGGTTGATATTTTTACTGTTACTTATTTATTTTATTTCCCAAACAGATACTGTAATCTATAATACTTTTATTTACATAAAAAATACTTGCCCAGATTTTATACTGTTAAAAAGTACTGTTGGTCTGTAACAGTACAAATCCTTTTTGCTTTAACAGTAAGAGTAACTCCCAGTGGAAATAAATAATTACAAAAAAGTGAGGGGTAATGCTATACATTAAATGTTGATGAGAAAGCCTAGTTTTAAAGTAAAACTACTGGATGATATGTTAATTTACTAAAAGTATGAATGCTTTCATAAGCAAATACACAAAGCTGTTTGGTATACACTGGTTATGGAGTAGTATAGTTATATATTCAAAGCGAAAGAGCTAATGACAAACATCAAAATTACTGAAATACAATTATGTGCTCTGTATATAATATATAACATCCAATCCATAGAGGAAATCAAACCAGTATTTCTTTTTATAAATTCTAAGTTCCATTGCAAAGAATATTATTAATAAAAGAAAAACATATTATTAAATGATAAAACCTTTACTGAATAAATGGAAGAAACAAAACGAATATTATCGTCACTATTGATTATTTGATAGAATTTCAAAATTCTGTGCAATAACTTATCTCAATTTAATGATTAACCTTTGTGAAGAAAAAATATTTAAATTAACTATATCATAGTATAATACATTAATTGACACTGTTGTTTAAATTAACACTGTGATTTACATAATTTATGATTAACATACAAACTCAAAACTTGATATTTCTTCAATATTGAATAAGAATGTACTGTAATGAGGAAGTTGCTACAGAAAAACATACCAACATTTGTGCGTACAGTTGGTTTATCGGACCAAATATTAGGCGTACAGTAAGAAAACTGGAAATATTTTATATATTTTCGGAGAGATATTAAAAACTACTCTTGTATATCGTTTTGTTTTCAAAAATAAACATGTTGGGACTTAAACAAATCGAATATCTCGTTTTAAAACGACTGATACATTACTCGTTTGCATGTGCATATCAGGTTGACGGTTGAATTTGCAGCAACAAATACCTCAATAACTTCCTCAATTTTAAAAAATTATGTACTCTATTTTGACAATCATGAACAATTATAAGTTCTGATCAGCATGCACAATGCTATTCTTCAAAAATTTACAATAGACAACAAATATTTGAAAAAAAACATGCTCACAGCCACTTTCGTTTTCGCTCCCGTCCGCCATTAGGGCGTATCGCATGAATTCACCTCGCTTAAAGGAGTATCGCACCGCTATACGTTCGACCCCCTGTTTATACGTATTGTAGTTGTAGGGCTTTCGGTTTAAAAAAATAAATTAATACACGGCTGTCGGGGTTACATTGCCAACACTTGAACTGGTGTATTGACGTTTTAATATATCTTTTCACCGCTAGAGTCATTCATCATTGATTTTATCAGGCAAGAAAACTAAAGCATGCTATATATATTTACTTTACACTGGGGAATAATGCAAAAATAAAAATAAAATAAATAAATTGACAGGGTTGTATTCAAAACCAGGTTGAATGATCGAAATAACACAATGTGATGTCGCATTAAAACGTTTACAAAACAATAATCATTTAATTCACTTTTTCAAGTACTCTTACTATGAAGCGTTATGTAACGCTAGGACTAAACATAACACATGAGCTTACAATTTATATAAATAAACTCTACACTTATCTTTCATTTCATTTTTAACTGTTTTTTTTATTTTGAGGATGTGTCGTCGTCGTCGTAGCCGCCGTCGTGCAAAAACTTAAATGTAGACCATTATTCATATATTATTTAAAACAATTATCAACATGAAACTTGGAAAACTTGCGTGTCACGACAAGATGCAGTTGTTAGACGACGGGGGTATAATTCTGAAAGTAGTGCCCGGTTTTAACTAAGAATATATCACAAACGAGCGTAAACACCTCGGGCGGTGCTTCTGTTTATCAGCCTGAATTACCTTTTAAATATATCCCCACATTGATGTAGTAGTAATTATACTGGGAGTTGTTAAGAAGTAAGGATAATTGCAATCAAACTGACATACTGGTAATAACCACGCCAGCATGATCCATGTTTATTCTTAACGGTAGACGTTCGTCGCAGATTAATGCTCCTGAAATATTAATTGCTGAATTGCACTAACAACAAGTTAAAATTTGATTTGATTCTGTACCACCGAAACATCCTAATCACAACAATATTGAATATATATATTTTTTTGTTTTGTCTTCTTCCACTAGAAACGCCGTATTAGAACATGTTAATACGGTGTCCCATTATTACCACTGTTGCCATAAATTTATTATATCTTATATTTAATATATTAACCTTAATCTCATTGTAAGAATTTTTGTTGTTATTCTATTATATCTTATATTTAATGTATTAACCTTAATCTCATTGTATGAATTTTTGTTGTTATTCTATTATATCTTAAATTTAATGTGTTAAACTTAATCTCATTGTATAATTATGTATAATGTTTGTGAATAAAAGAAAGAAAAAAAATGAAAAAATAGCTAAAATATTGCACGTTTATTTGCAGCTCAAATACATAAATGCCGTGGCCGAAGGTAAGATGTGTCCCACTAAATGTCTGCTTGAGCGTAAGTTGAACAGTGCTCTTTATAACATATGGAAGCAATTGGCTGAAAAGTCTTGCATTTTTTTTTATCTCAATCGCACATTTTAAAGCACGGTGCTTAAAGGTTGGTACCAAATTCTTCTTTATTAAAAATAAGCGTACTTGTTTTTTTCTATTTTTCTGATTTTCTTTTTTCCTCATACATATCAGATTGACTGATATAATATCCCATTCAACATTGAACCGCAATAAACACTAATAAATTCACAACGCAGAGGCCTGTTACACTTCAGATAATACTCAGTATTATTCGGGTAAGTAAAACATGATTATTGGACCAAATCAATAAAGGGGCATAACAAAACTATTTACCTCCATACTGTGGTGCTTTTAGCATTACTCCCCTTTCGTAAAGAGACACAACAAATGGAAGATTTGCTAAACTTATTGGAATCTTATTTATTCATTGCTTTTAAACACATTTCCTTTACTACAGTATTGATAGTGCTCGGTAAGAATTTTACAATATTAATATCTTATTAGATATATAAATTCATTAACATCTTTAATGCAGAAATGATTTAACGGTATTCATATATAAAATTGTTTTTATCGTATGTTATCAATGCAGCATTTAGTTACCATCCTGTATCTAAATATAGAATTAGGCTACACGTTAAAACTGAAGGACAAATAAACTTAGATGAGTATGATATAAAAATGGTAGTTAAATTGTATTTTATTAATCATATACTATGACGTAAATTGCACTTATTATTTTATATCATGAACATTTTACATACTATTACTAATACTTTTTTTGTTGAAATGGTGTTAAATTTCAAAAATTTAAAACTACAAGTAACAGACACATACCTGCGCAGTCATTACAACAATATATTGTATTACAATGATTGTCAAACTTCTCCACAGTGATTACCTCCCTTGGCAGAATTGTAATCACTGCCTTCACAGACGTCACATGATGATGAAAGTCACATGACGTAACGTCAAAATTCAAATGTAAATATCAACCGTTACATAGAAAATCTAACGTAATATTTCTTTTTCTGTTTTATTTTTAACATTTCGTACCTACCTTAGTTATAGTTTATCTAAAATACTCAAAAGTATACAAAATAATGAAAAATAAATTCTAAAGCTAAAAATTTATAATATCAAAATATTGATAAAAAATGTTTGTGATGGCAGCGATCTCTGTACTGATAAGGGGAGATCACTGCGTAGGAGATCGAATGATAGTAACGTGTGTGTGTTTTTTAGCCTGCATTCTACACTATTTCAACATGCGTCAGGCGGTTACGTTTGTCCTCCCCTTCATTCTGATGTCTACCTTTTGTTCAGAGGAGGGGCGAGGGGAAGAGAAGGTTGCATTTATTGGCGAGTCAAGATTCGAGTATAAATACAAAGTTTTACAGAAATTAGTGCAGCTCGAGGAAGGTCAATCAAAACTTGAACTGAAACTGAAGGAAAAATCAAATATAATTGAACATTTAACCGAAGAGCTTAAAGGTACAAAATGATAAGGATGTAACTAACTAACTAACTAACTAGCACTAACTAACTAGCTAACTAACTAACTAACTAACTAACTAACTAACTAACTAACTAACTAGCTAACTAACTATATATATGTTTATGTAAAATGCATTGAATATTTAATCAGGAAAGACAAGAATTGTAACTAGAGTAATGAATCTGTACATCTGAAATATAGGAATTGAACTTTTTTTTATCAACACACACAAGAATCAGTACTGATGATTAAATATAATTTGTTACCGTTTCTAACACAACGATAAAATGAAAACTAGGAGGACTCTATCTAACATCCTTTACTTTACGCACCATTCAAGACTGACCCCGTTTCCTTCAACAACGACTTGCCTCAAATATTAATAAACTCCAAGAGTTAAAACACTAATTTTGATCATTGATAATAGGTTCATCTAGTTTTATTCTATCTCGTTATCTTTTAAAGGCACATTATGCCTCATTTATAAGTCAATAGATTTTTCCTTCTCTAGCAATTTTAATATGTAAAAAAATAATGATTTAAGAGCATGTAAGATGTTATTACCTTCAGAAAGTAGCTCCGAATGTAAATGTATTTATCATAAAGTAGCAAAATGTAAACAAAGTAGTAGTTTGACTTCCATACACAATACTAAATCACTGTTACTGGACTATTCCCGGAAAGCAATTGAAGCAAAATACGATTCGGTTAATCAGCAAATTAGTATCTTTTCGGAAACTATAACAGGACACCAAAAAAATGAAAAAAGCCTATGAGAAATATAAAAGCATATCTTGGGCATAAGGAGCCTTTAAACAAAATTTAATGTTGTCTTTGTTTAATATGTTTAAGGAATAAATGTATCTATGTTAACGTCGTAGAGAATATTGTTACATTGGTAAACCATCTTTGTTGCATGTCTCAGAAATGAATTTTTACTAAATAAGTTAAAATCGCCCCTAGGCTGTTCGAAAATGTTTTAATATAGTAACTTCGCTACTTTATTTCCTGTTACATATTTTATAGAAACAATACAATTTATTATTTTCAGAGCCACATGCATCGATTGAAGCGTTAAATGATGTTATTGATAAGATGGAAGAGGAAGGGCCTGGCCAAGGCGAAACTTACGTAAGATGGGGACGAACAACATGCCCAGATAATGGAGCAGAACTCGTGTATGACGGGTATACAGCAGGTTCTCACTTCACTCACAGCGGAGCAGCGGTAAATTACCTATGTTTGCCAAAAAAAACATCGTGGGCAAAGTACAATGACGGTGTACAGGAGTATCGGGGGTATGTTTTTGGCGCTGAATATGAGCGTCATGACGAATCTCCACAAACATATGACCGTGATGTCCCATGTGCGGTTTGTAAAACCCCAAGAGCACCTGTTAGAATGATAGAATGATTCCTGCCAGAAATGAATGTCACAACGGTTGGAATTTGTAATACAGAGGGGTGCTAGTTGCTGGATATTATAAGCATACTGCTGCATCTGAATACGTGTGTTTGGACGAATCTCCGGAGAGCATAGAAGGTAGCAATGCAGATCAAAATGGAATTTTAATGTATTCTGTTGAAGGAAGATGTGGTTCACTAAAATGCCCACCATATATAGATGGGCGTGAACTTTCTTGCGTTGTTTGCTCTTATACTTCATATCAACGTACGAGAGGTAACCAAAACAGGCATTGGACGAGTGGGAAATAAATATGTTTTATGTTTTTAATTTTGCTAAACAAAAATTAAGATTTCCAACATTTTATCCAGCTTTGTATGAATATTTAGGACTACCCCGTTTGCTCAACTTTGCTATAAAAATAAAGTATCGGCAGAGATGCCAAAGGGAAGTAAGCAGAAGTTGGATTTTAGCAAACGTTTTTCACGGTTGTTTTCCTTTGGCTTAACTTCTACAAAGTACAATTGATGAAAACGTGTCATTGGTGCAAATAACTATTTCAGGAAGGAAATTTATTTAGATATCAATCTTTCGATTTGTTATACAAATTAGTACATTTCAATATTAATATATATTTAACCGTTACAAACGTACGCGGGAACAAAACGCTAAATTTCACAGACAGTAATATCAAAACACTTGCTCAAAAAGGGACGACAACACTTTGTTAATAATCTATTAAATGAAATGCTCATTATCTCCCTTTTATTTAAGCAGAATATAAACTATCATATTGATTTTATAAAATGTCGAGTGTTTAGCAAGTTAGTAAATGTACTTATCTGTATCAGCAATACAGAAATCAAACTGATTGCTGCCTCATATATCTTCTTACTTATAACTTCGCAAAATACCCCATTGTGATTTAGGGGTTGCCTCTAAGGGTTGAGACATCAGAACTGCAGCCACCGTTTTATCCCAAAGTTAAGAGGCGACTATATGGGTTCAAAAAACTGGTGTCTATGCATAACTTAGCTCCAGAAGGCGAGGTGATTTTGACTACTGGTGTTGTTGTAAGTTTGATTTAGGATAAACTATTTTGGTCCGTTAACTTCCCGTGATACTCGATTTTATGGAACGCCGTGACTGTCTTATGCTATCAATATTTTTGCTATCTTCTGAAATGATGCTATTATTTTGTCATTTTAGCATATTAACATGTGCAATGTACATCAAATCTTTTCTACAGACAATGCTGACTTGTTCAAACGGCATGTTAACTTGTCAAATAATCATTATGACATGTGCGAGACAACATATTAACTTGTCAAATTATCATGATGACGTGTGCAAACGACATGTTAACTTGTCAAAATATCGTGATGACTCGTGTAAACAACATCTTAATTTGTCAAAAATTCATGATGACATGTGCAAACAGCATGTTAACTTGTCGAATTATCGTGATGACATGCTCATAATACCTTAACAAGTTAACATGTGTTTGCACAAGTCATCACGATTCTTTGACAAATTAACATGTTGTTTGCACAAGTCATCATAATAATTTGACAAGTTAACATGGCATTTGCACAAGTCATCATGATACATTGACAAGTTAGAATGGGGTTTGCACAAGTCATCACGAAACCTTGACAAGTAAACATGCTATTTGCACATGTCATCATGAAATTTTGACAAAATAACATGTCGCTTTCACAAGTCACCATGATACTTAGACAAGTTAGCATGTTGTTTGCACATGTTATCACGATGATTTGACAAATAAACATACTGTTTGCACATGTCATCATGAAATTTTGACAAGTTAGCATGGCATTTGCACAAGTCATCATTATACTTGGACAAGTTAACATGTCGTTTGCACAAGTCATCATGATACTTGGACAAGATAACATGCTGTATACACATGTTATAACGATAGCTCGATAAGTTAACATGCTGTTTACACATGTCATCATGGAATTTTGACATGTAAGCATGGTATTTGCACAAGTTATAATAATACTTTGACAAGTTAACAGTACGTTTTGGCATGTCAGCATGATACAAGATAACATGTCATTTGCATAAGTCATTACGATAATTCGACAAGTTAACATGTCGTTTGCACAAGTCATCATGGAAATTTGACATGTTAACTTGCTGTTTGCACAAGTCATCATGATACTTTGACAAGTTAACATGCTGTTTGCACACATCATCACGATAATTCGACAAGTTAACATGTCGTTTGCACAAGTCATTATTATACTTTGACAAGTTAACATGGCGTTTGCACAAGTCATCATGACACTTTGACAAGTTAACATGCTGTTTGCACATGTCATCACAATAATTCGACAAGTTAACATGTTGTTTGCACAAGTCATCATTACATTTTGACAAGTCACCATGTCATTTGCACAAGTCATCATTATACTTTGACAAGTTAACATGTTGTTTGCACAAGTCATCACGATACTTTGACAAGTTAGCATGTTGTCTGCACATGTCATCATAATAATTTGACAAGTTAACATGCTGTTTGTACAAGTCAACATGTTCCTTTGACAAGACATGATGTAAATTGCACATCTTGCTTCCCAAACGAGCGTGTAAACCCTAGACCACCGGGAAGTTATAAGAAGACAGCTTTAAAACAGCACGCCTCAAAGTTCATGCTAATGTTCATGAAAATTTGAAAATGTATTTAACAGTATAATATTGTGAAGTTACTAAAACAATGATATTTAAACATTATCAATGACACCTTTAACCCACGTAAATTACCATAAAGAGGTCAAAATATGCAAAAAATAGCCCTTACTGTGTTAGTAACGCAGTAGAAATATAGTTATAAATACTGAAAAGTCGGTCATTAATCGCATACAACATGTTAATTATTACCATAATTTTGAATCTTTATACTGTTCCTTAAATTTTAGTACATTTTTTCTGATGTTTGATTTTATCGAAATATTTTTGTTTATCTGGAGGCGTGCAGCAAACCACATTATTTCAAATTAGAATTTGTAATCCTTATTATTTAATAGATTCAACATCCTTACTTTATTTTTTAGAAAATCTAAATAAGAAATGTCCATTAAGGCGATCCCAATAATCCAAAGCTTTACGGAAAAAGCCGAGCAATTTTCATTGATTAAAATGATATTCATCCTGAATATTTGACAGATAATTGGCGGAAATGTTAAAGAATTACACAATATTAGAAATCTTCGACCAATCGGGAATTTACTTCTTCCTTGAGAAAGTTTGAAAATTAATGCGCATGTCATTTGACAAGCCTTACGCAGTGATCTTCCCGTAATGGTTCTGCGTTAGTGTACTTATAAAGGGACGTAACCGCTTCGAGGCGGACTACTTGCAGATTTTGCAAATAAGCATATCAGGGTCTGAAATTTACAGAGCTACCATTATTGGTTTGCTCTGACGACCCAAATAAATAAATAAATGTAACTCCCAGCCTATTGGAAATTAACATTACTAAAACGTGACGGGTAATGATATTAATTCTGACAAGACTCAAATTTTCTCTATTGAACATAGTAGGACAGAAAGAGTGTTTTATGATATAATAAAATCACTGTTGACTTTCTATTTTAGACATGTGACGTAACCATTATACATGTGACGTAACCATTAAAAATGCGACGAGCTGAAAATATGTACGGAAACAAATCAAGTGCAATTGTGTTTGGTATCAGGAACGGTAGTATTTATTTGTTGTCGTAAAATCGAAATAACATATCCGAATCAGTGATTATATGTTTTGATAAAATCACTGCTTGACGTTCGGATGCGCATCATTATATCACTCGGGGTAAGCACTCGTGATAAAATTCCTCTCATCCGAACTCTAAACAGTGATTTTTATTAAGCGATGAAATAACTGTTTGGTAAATTAACAAATAGGTTCGTAGGTATTATATTAGTAAAAACAGTACAGTCACTGTTAATAGATAAATGTGTTAGAATCATTGATGAATTAAAAACTTATGAATCCCCTTATGGACCACTGGGAAAGTTTAAGGAATTACATGTCTCTTACCTCATGGATTTCAGGAAAACTTTTAATATCTTATTGTCTACTATAAAAAGTAAATGTTCTTTTTAAAAATGATAAATGATAAAACTTTAAGATAGATTAAAACAAAAAAGGAATAAGTGTTCTATAATTTTCAATGGAAATGAAGTATCAAAAAGCTATTTAGATGGTGAGGGATTGAGAACCCAGAAACGTTAACAAAATATACATATTTTCCAATTGTAAACGCAATCCAAGAAAGCTGACACATTTAACAACAGGTGCATATACAAGCACTTTCATCTGTTAATGAATTGATATTTCTCAAGTTGAATTAAATGATATGACTATCCTTACAATATTGCGCTTGTTTTCACCTGAAATATAAGAATACATATGCATTGGGAAATTTATAAAAGAGCAGTTATTTGTCTTGATGTACGTAACGTTTCCAACTTGTTTAATTTCTCTGCTTTAATTTCTCTTCTAGAAGGAGGAGAAAGATTGGGTGCTTTACAAAATCATATGCAACCCATATTATGCTAAAAGCTTTTTAAAAGACAGAATAAGGGTGAATGTGACATGTTTTATTCCGAATTAAAGAAATTGAACTTTTTGCACGGATCTAATTGAAAAACATTGTACGTATATCATCTTTTGTCCAATTTGCGTATTCATACACGCCTGCATCATGGCATTATGTCATACCATTGCATAGCTAAACACAGTCACAACCAAAGTTAAAATTTCATTATTTCAATTTGATTGACAGTCTTGGATGAAAATGAAAAAAGAACCAGATTATGTTTTCAGTTAGAATGACATTTGTTATAATTCAGAAGGAGATTGTCATAACAGTGATGTATTCATGAAATAGAAAGCAAACTAGAAATTCAAGGAGTTCAACATGAAGAAGATAGTGTTGAAACACAGTGGGATACATGGAATATATAGCTACTAAAGTAGTCATACGACATGTACGAGTATATTAAAATTAAATAATACATACCTGCAATCAAGTTATCAAATTTTAAACTTTGAGTGTCATATCAAAGTCAGAAGACAAAGAAATATTTTTCTTATGAATATTTACCAGTGAAGAATTACGTATTACATATCAGTATAACATCAAAGGATACATACGGACAACCAAGTAATAATTGATAAGTCATATTAAAAGCAAAAATGTTCTTTATATCTAGGATGCTTTTACCAGTGAAGAATTATATATAACATACTACTATAGTATAACATTAATACATACAGACGATCAAGTAATCTAACATTTGGTAAAATCATAATAAAAGCAAAGACAATAATGTTATTTATGTCTAAGAATTCTTACACAGCGAACGCTTAA